CACAAATGTATTTAACATTTTGATTTAAATTTTTGTAATATTGGACAGCTAAATTTTATAATCTTAAACCAAACATCTACTTTATTTGCTTAATTATAAATTCTATTGTTTCAAATAAACAATATTTGATATTTAATAATAACATTTTGTGCACAGTCCAAACTTTTTTATTTTTCTTCATTTCTTTTCAATACTTCTTATTGTCAAAAAAGTTAATACATTAATATAAATGATATTTATTAGTAAAAAGACTATATAGTATTAATGATACTAACCTATCAACAGCCACTACAACACTTTGAGAACTTGTTTCACCCATCGACTCTTGCAAACTTGCTATTTTCTTCTGATCTAATACCAATCCACCACGAGACACTGAAAATAAAGTTTTTAATATTTTGATAAGTAAATACTTTAAAACTTTGCCAAATAACAAATTTGTTCATATTAGAAATAATTCTATTTTGATTCTATTAAACAAGAATTCTTATTTTATTTTCATTTTAAGATTGATATAAACTCCTACAAATAATACTTTCTACATACTCCAATAACTATAGTAAAATGTCAGTATAGTTAAATTTTGTTACTTATAGTCAAAATGCCAGAATATTGGAAAAGTTATTACAAAATAAAAATCTTAACCTTAAGAGGTCATATGTGAGGTCAAAAAAAAAATCTATGTGAGGTCCTTTACCAATCCTCTACAATTTTAGAAGTCAATCATAAAAAGAAGAAAATTAACATAAACATATTAATTTTAATAATAAATGTTTTATTGTTAAAAAGTCAACATATTATAAAATAAGGTACAATTTAAAAAGGGAAACACTAAAAATTTCATTTTCATGATTTTTTTAATCACAAAAAAGTTACTAAAAGGTAAGAAAAGCTATCTATAAAAATCAGATAAATTTTATATTAAAAGGTATAAATCACTAGAAATATATTAATAACCAATATTGTTTATATTACAATTACATACTACACAAAATAAAAAGTAAAGTATATTTTTGTTGGTTTATAAAAAAATGTTATTACAAAACCTGACTTCAATTTTCTTTTTTATTGTAGAAATTTTTTAGGCACCTTGAAAAACTACATACATAGGCCATAAACTACAGCTTACATGTAAATATGACCCTGCTTGAAAGCAAGGAATTCTTAAAATTAATTTCCCTGGTACTGCTTGTTAGAGTAAATTTCATATTTCAAGATTCTATAAGAAACCATAGTGAATCAACAATTTGCAGGAACTTTTTCATGTTTTGACTCTCCTCTCAGAGACTCTCAGATAATAAGAGAACTTTTTGATCATCAATACAGAGAGGCCAACAATGAATGAGATGGTCTAGAAAGCTGAACATATCTAAATCAATCCTAAAAAATTCTGAGCCAACCCCAGACATGTACCTTATTCTTCCAGAATTGTCCTTTATCATCTCAATTATCTGGTCATCTGTATATGTAACTAAAAGTTTATTGTCAGTACTGTCTTGAACAAACCAGCTGATGCATGAAATAATGGCAGCATTGATAATAATGTGTACATCTCCAGAATAATTATTATTTATTGCTGAAAAAAGTCTATAATTTTTTATTGCACTTTATTTGTGATTTTTGATTGTCTGTAATTAAAGCCTTTTCTATAAATTCATGCACTATGCCACATTATTAAAATATGATATCAGACATATCTTTTCATTTTATCAGAAAATGATAGAAGTTTTGCATCAAATTAACTGAATCTGAAATGGTAATTTCAACTTCATGTTCACAATATTGGATGAGTCTAGATTACTATTTTGAATAATTATATAGTAATGACACTACATTACAAACTAAACTGACAATTAAGACAAATATTTGTATTGCCAGATAAATGTCCAGTGACAACAAAAAAAAAGTAATTTATACATTTATAGTTTTCATTATAATGATCACTTTCATTCATAATGAATTAAACCTTTATTATATTAAACTGAAATTTTTGTTACAGTATTATTTGTTAAACAAACATTTTTCCATTAAGATGCTTAGCAAATTGGCAGAAGGTTGAAAATAAATGCATTATACTGAAACTGTATGAGATAGTAAGAGAGAATTTTTGTTATATTTAGTTACTTATTTTTGTTTCAGTTATTTTAAGTTTTGGATGTTACGTTAAATCTAGACTGTTATCTCAACAATTTCAAACTAGAGCTTCATTTGTATAATTTAATAGTATGGTTCGAATAACAAATTAAAATTTTTATATATAAAATATTTTATCTATATTTAAACCCTAAACAATTTTCTATTTATATTCTTGTAAACAGATATTTGTATCTGTTTACAAGCCAAGTTAAGCAAAATCTTATTCCTTGTAAATGTGTAGTATGTAAATCAGCAATGTATAAAAATGAACTTGTCAAACTGGAAAAGGAAGCTATCATTCATTTCTGCTGGTCAGTGTGCAAATGTTAAATTGTAAATGATTGATTGGAGCTAATTATGCATTTCTTTTTTTCCTTCTAGGTTCTCTTCCCTAAAATCAGGTTAATCACTCGAAGTTTTGAATAATTGTAATTTTGTAATTTTTACAAATAATCAATTTTATTGTTATAATTACTGAATTAAAAATTGTAACATTTCGGTTCCACATTAATTGTTGTTGTTTTAGCATATTTTATTTTGTACTTTGCACATTCAAGTACCAAATTTTATAAATGTAGAATTTTGAAATATTATATTTTGCATTTTTATATATAAAATATATGAAATTTAATAAATCAAAATAAATTAATACTAAACTTACATTCTGCTGGATCTAAAGCAAATCCACCACTGTCAGTAATTGTTGATTGACCACTACTTAAATAACGTGGTTTTACACCAGTTCCAATTAATTGTGCTAATTCCAATTGAGAAATGCATCTCAAGATCTATCAAATTTAAAAAATATTTACATATCTATGAAATATAAAAAGCAATACCTAAAAGCAATACTGACCTCTAACCATGATTTTCCAAGATAGTTTCCATCTGTATGTGCAACAGTAATAAGTGTTTTAATTGTATCAATATTTTTAGCTTTCATTTCAGTAATAGGTGAATTAGCTGTAAGCAAGGTAAAACGAGCTAATGCTTGTACATAAGCATCACGTTCTAACTGCAACAGAATATATGCATGTCAAGTTAATTCAAAATTTATAAACTTTTTAAATAAAAATAGTAGATTTCTGATTATTATATTTGTGGTACCACAAATAAATCTACTATGCAAATAACAAATAAAACCTGTATAATTGTAAAAAATTAAATAAATAATAAATATACTAAACAAATTATAAATATCGAGTTCCTACTCAAATTTTTGAGTTAAATTCCATAACTTTTCCTGACCAACTTTGCACAAATTCCATGACCCTCACATCCCTTATAGTATGGCACATTGACATAATAAAACAGCATTTTATTTAATATGAACATACACTATTCTTCACTAGACTTTTTAATTGATTATTTTTTCTGATTAACAATTTTATATCTTTATAATCATTAAATTATTAAAATTAAAATGTTTTATTAAATAAAAATAATTTATCCTGTTATTAATCTACAATCATAAAATTACTTACCACAGCTGAAATAAAAATTATTTATTTATTATTCATTAACAAATCTGTTACAAAAGTATTAATTTATTAAATTTATCCCTTAATAAATTTTCCAAATATTAATTTCAAAACATTAATAAATAGAAAAAAGATTGGAAATTGTTCTGCAATCAAAATTATTAAAATGAAAAATTCTAATTTAAAATGATGATATTTAGCATTTTTTTTTTTTTTTTGCACTATGTTCTCATTTATTAATCAGTTCATTAACAGGCACTTTCAAATTAAAGGTGTAAAAGGTAATTGAGGAATTCACAGAAAGTTTAAAAAAAAAAATTTGAAAAAATTTTATTGATGATAGATTATTAAAAATATTACAGATTTTTCTCTCAAATTCATAATATTGCATTTTTAAAATCTCAAAATATTTTAAAATTCAAAAATGATATTGTCATATATATTAGGGATTTAGTTTGATCCCCTAGCATCTTGTGATACTCTCCTCCATGTTGTATTTTATAATAATTACTTACATAAACAATTATTATTAGTTTTAAAATTGATCTACAACTGTCAGTAAAAAACATAAATGTCTATAATAAGCGTCCAAACATTAAACAAAATTTAAAAAATACACTATGTGATCACAATTAAAAAGGACTAATTTTGAGTGATTTTAAAATACAATCTTACAATGCAACAGAACAATAAGTCTTAGGTATAACAAGACTTACTTATTAACAGGGATATAAAATATTTTCAGGACCCAAAATTTCTCCTGAACATACACATAATTATCATGATTATTATTGGACACAAAATTAAATTATAATTTACAAATCAGTTAATTCACATAGGATACTTACTTACTACATAGGATAATTTCTTATTTTATGTTCATAAAATAAAATTCTTATCCAAACAAAATTACATGTTTATTTCAGTAAAATAAAATTACAGACAGCTAATAAAAACTACTTTTTTTATAAAACAGTAAAACATAATTCTAAACAACTTGTACTAAAAATAACTTACAAATTTTAAACATAATTTTAAATGTTTGTCTTTACAAACATAAAATCAAATGTTTAAAATTACTCAAGATAATTTTGAAAATTTAATCATACAAATAAGGAAATAGTCCTACTGTACAATTTGCTATACAACACTAAACTGATAAACTAATGTAAAAATGTTTAAATTAAAAGGACATTTTAATTTAAGCAAGTGTCATCATTGTAGAATAGCATATACAATTATAAACTATAGTTGATTATTAGTAATAAAAGTGAAGGTGATGCCACAAACAATCTATTTTTAGCATAGGATGCTAATTAATGAACTTTTTGATGTCCAAAAACTCAAAATTTACTTATGATAATGTATGATTTTTTTCCTGAAAAATTATTTAAGAAATGCAAAATGAAAAACTGTTTTAGTTTTTGACTGATATTTTCATTATTTTTTTATCTTAAAGGCTATCATATTTTTATGATGATTTAAAGTATTTTTTGAAGTTAATATTTCTCATTTTATATTAATATTATATTAAATCTTTGAAAAAAATATGAAAAACAAAGAAAAAGTGTTTATAAAACTTCTATTTAATTATTTGATCAAGGTAATTCAGAATAAATTTTTAAACGGAGTTTGTTAATTTGTAAATTGCCTATGCTGGAAATGAGCAAATATTTCAATTCAAACCAATGTAAAATTTTACCCATTAAACAATGTCAAAAAGAGTTTTTAAATAGAAATGGATTTTTTTGTTTTTTAGTTAATTTTAAAACATTGTTTCAGTTTCAGATTTTCATAACAATCAAAACCATGCTTTTGTAACTGAGACCCATTTGTTCCTACTGCAAGCACAAAACTGTTTAAGTAGGCAGCAATGTAACAAGTGAATGAATTGATCAGAAAGAAAGTAAACAACATTTCAATTTCAAAACACAAAATCCCTGAAGTTTAGCAAATTTCCTCAATTAATGTCTATAGGCTTAGCCAAGGTTCTATTCTTTTTCTTTTCTTTTTGGTGGTTATTGCTGTATATTTTTTCTATTAGAAATTTCAACAGGACTATTTTAATTTCCTCAAAACCTCATTTGCATAATTGGACAAATTCTACTTATTAAAATTAAAATTATAAAAATTATATTATTATATATTTTTTTCATTAAATAAATTCAAGAAATAAACATTGAACTACAAAGATAAAAGTCATGAAAAAAATAATTATATTTCATTTAATATATGTATAACATGATAATGAAAGAAAATTTATTCTTTCGTTGTCATGTTATACATATATTAAATGAAATATGCATGTTAAAAAATTTTACAAATTAATGATTTTTAAAATTCTTTATCATGCAATTTATTCTTTTATCACCATATTATTGGCTACAAATCTTAACACAGATTAACATTAAATCAAATTGAATAATGGTATTATAAAATTAAAGAAAACATTATAATTACACTAATATAAATTATATAAATACATTTACATTTTATAAAATATTTTAATTTAAAATAAGTTTCTGCTAAATATTAATATTAATTACTTACTATCATATTAAATATACAAGCTATTCGAATTGCACATCTAATTCCATCTAAACACAGTGATGCAATTTCTGGATCATCACAGTCTTGCAAACCAACACTGAAGGCTGCTAAGAAAGGTGTCCAAGCCATCTAAAAATATATGAAAAATAATATATAGTCAAATAATAATTATACATGAGAATAAAATAAATAAATTATATTTTATTTAACATATAAATAACTGTCAATTTTTTATTGCTTTATGGAGAATAAAAAAATATTATTATTAAAAATCAAATTCATATTATTACAAACATATTAAATATGGTATAGTCTTAATTATCAATGCTAATGTGGACAAAATACTTTAGATAATCAGAAACTTTGGATAACACAAAATCTTTGGTAAGAAGTGATTTTATAACCACTTTCTTGTGGTTTGTCAATCAAAGTTTTATGATGATTACAATTAAAATGTCTTTAATATTTTTAAAAATTTAAATTGGGGAAATAACAAAAGAAAATTCTTTTTGAAAGTTCTAGAATCATTTTTAAATACTGTAAATACCTAGCCAACATTAATGAAACAATCTATACTATCTTCTCTCATCTTTGCTAACAAAAATTCTTACACAGCTCATCTTGTATAATAAAAAAACCTTGATTAAATAAGTCTCAGTTAATTGTGACTCTACAGTACAAAGAAAAATATAGCATTTTATTTAATTTTAAGATATTGTTCAAAACCCTAAAATGAAAAATTTCAGTATTATTCTGAATTCTTGATCAGAAATCAATTAAAATAGTTTCAGATGGTTAATCCATCTTTAGTTGTATAGAAAATTTCAATAAAAGTTAATTCTATAAATTCAAAAGTATTTTAGATTCCATATAAGTTAACATCTAATTTCAAATTGTATCAACAGACAACATTTTTTGTTTTTTTTTTCAATCAAATATTGAACATAAATTTATGATTTTTCCTTTATCTTTCCACACTAAGCATCTTCAACCCTCAGGCACAAGTCCTAATTAATGAGATAAAGCATTTACATTGTCTGTCACAGTGGAGTTTGATGTTTTTTTGTGTAGAGAATAGTGTAGTATGTGATTGATGTAATCTGAATTTGCATAGATGAAATTTTTGTTTTAAAATTTTTTCTGGCATCATAATTCGTTTTTTGATTTTCAACACAACAATGGAAATTTCTAATTTTGTTTGATTGTGTCAGACTATTTTCTAACTTCAACAATAGTTGAATTAATATTAGAATATTTTTCATACTTTTAATTTGTTTTATAGTTCAATTTGATTTATCTCTTGAACATTACAAACTTTTTATTTTGAAACTTCTAAGTTTATTAAATAATGATGTAATTAAACAACTTTTTAAGGTAATAAAAGTATTAAATTTCAAAATAATAACTTTAGTTTCTACTATTAAGTCTAAAAATATTTTAAAATAAAAAACAATTAATAATTACTTTGAACATTGGGCGAACATGTTCTAAATGCTTAGCACAAGTAAATGGTGCTTGAACATGACTCACTCCTTCCATTAATGCTTTTGCAGTTCTTGCCATCTGTTCCATTTCCATGTTATATAAAAGTCGTCTTTTTTTCTCACTAGAAACACCTTTAAATAAGTTGTAAAATTTTTGTAATTTATCATTTGTAAATTTAACATGTAAACATTTAGAAAATAACATTAATCTATATATATAATCGAGACGAGTTGATAATAATAATAATGATAATAATAAGTGCAGAGCCCAAATGGTTAGGAGTTGAAAGTTGAAATTTAGTACACAGTTAGGGTATGTCACAAGAACGCACACTAAGAAGGGATTTTTTGAAATTCCCCCCTGCGGGGGAGAGGGACAGGATTAAGTCTTCAACAATGGAAGTGTTAAGTAATAATGGAAGTGTCAACAATGGAAGTGTTAAGAGAAAGCAATGTGCAAGATTTACAGGTGCAGATGCGGTTTTTTGCATTTTTGTGGGATATCAAACGTATTTTTAGACCCATCTAAAAATTCTCTAATTAGTCTAGAAACAGGTGGACCTAATTCTTGCATTCTGTGAAAATGGGTAAGATTGGCTGTAATGTAATAATCTTAATCTTCACTATCGTTACTTTTTGCCCCGAGCAACACCAGGCTTATCTGCTAGTTCATAATAATTTTAAATTTATAAGTGCTATTACAATCTAAATTAAATATGCAAATAATGATTAAAATTAGTTCATAATTTAAGAAGTAAAAATCCAAAGATAGCCTAAAATATAATCTGAAAATTATAACAATACTTCCAAACCTAAAACCTAGTGAGAACAAAATCTTTTATTGAAGAAGAAACATTTTCATCCTTTACAAAGACCATTTTCAGGTTCTACTGGTAGAATGCAACTTGAACAAAAATAGAATTTGAATAACATTCGTTATATATGAATGTTGCATGTGCAGGAACACAGTAATAATTCATAATATAACAAGGATTACAAAAAAAACACACACACAAAAAATGGGTTAAATGCTTATAAATAACATATACTCAAAATAAAATATACTCCAAAACAACCTGAGTGCTGATTTATAATGACAAGATATCAACATAAAATATG